AGTGCAGTCAGCCTCATCTGTTACTGTTTGTATGCAGGTTGGATCCCCCACTCCTGCATTTGGTTGATGTCAATGGTTTGCTTATTTCTTGGATGTGTGGAACAATACCATGGTTCTAGCTGAGAGGGACACAAAAATCCAAGCTCAGTGAGGAGCTGCTTGCTCCCTCCCGATCCTGACTGCTCATTCCATCCAATCATTCTTACTACTCTTTATCCTCCCAATCCTGGTGGCAACAAAATGCATTCATTTGCTGCACATGGTGGCCCACACCTATAATCCCAGTGACTGGGAGGATCACAAGTTTAAAGCCAAACTCAGCAACTTAGAGAGGCCCTAAGCAACTTAGTGAGAAAAAATAAAAAAGGGCTGGGGATGTGGCTCAGTGGTAAAGTGGTCCTGGGTTCAGTCTCTGAACCCAAACCCAAAACAACAACAAATTAAACAGCTCATTCATTTCTGGTTTACTCTTTCTGACACTCATTGCTTTTTAATGTCTTGTATTAAGCCTGGTTCATGGCAGGTCCTCCATAATACTCAACATTAATCATTTCCTTCAGTGAAGCCTGACTCTTGGAGCCCATCCCACACCTGCAGTTTCTCCTGTTCACAGTGAAGCTGGGCACATCATTTTATTATGCCCAACAAAAGGCTCTGAGGACAACCTCTGCTTTTCTCAATTGGGTCACTTATGAGATGGAATCTAGCAGCCACTAAGGAGAGCACAAGGAACCTTGTACTCTCCTTGGATGTCAAGACTCATAGATGACTAGAACGCAGCCTGATGGGAATTCTTGGGCAACATTTTCACATTCCGGCCACTTTCTTCTCCTTTTTTTAAAAAGGTACCATCTCAAAACAACTTAGCAGCATGAGATTATTTTTAAATTCCTGGAAAATTACAAGATTAAAGGGAGCAAGAATTACACAAATATTTGCAAAACAAAAGTAATCACTAGTAAAGGTTTTGGGATTTCTATTGGTCACATAATAACCTTTTCAATGATCCAAGTTTTCATTTTCTCTGTAATCAGTGTATGATTTCTCAATGAGTGGGGAAGGAAGCCACCAGAAATGAGTTGGTAAATTAAGAACAGTTGTAAATATTTGGGAAATAAAAACAAAGAGTTTGTAAATGTAGATCTATGTTGAAAGAGGAAACTGGCATCCAACACAATGCACTTATCATCATATCTGAAGAACTTTGCATCAAAACACAAAACTTTAGGATTGGGATATGATGAGTCATAGGCCATATGACATTTCCAAGAGGATCATTTCATGTTTTACAAATTCTGCAAATAAAAAGATCTTCCCATATGTAAAATAAAACCAGCCCCCTGAAACCTTGTTGTAAGCTGACAATTAGACCATCTCTGGATGGGGAGGCTGAAGATGGGTAGGATTATGGGTGTGAGAAGCACAGACAATGTCCTAGGCAACCCCAGAATGATGAGGTTGAGAAAGGATCCAGACTGCAGGCTACGTTGATCAGGGGCTTCCGTAACAACTTGAGATTTGGGCTTCTGTTACAGTTTAGTTCTGGAGCCCAAAGGCTCATGTGTTAAAGGCTGGGTCCCTAGTGCAGCAGTGTTCAGAGCAGGGCCTTTGGGAAGTGATTAATCTATGTGCTCGTAATTTAATGGCATTGGGGGGTGGTTGATGGGGTGGGAGGTGGGGCCCTCTTGACCTGGCCCCTTCCTCACAATGCCCCCCACCCTCCGCCTGCTTCCTGGCTGTCATGAGGTGAGCATCTTCCTTCTGCGGTGCTCTTCTGCCACGGTGTTCTGCCTCACCTTAGGCCCAGAGCAACGGAACCAGCTGCCCATGTATTAAAACCTCGGAAATTATGAGCCAAATAAGTCTTTCCTCCTTTGAGTTGTCTCTCTCAGGTATTTTTTCACAGTGAAAAGTTGACTAACAAAGCTTCTAAGTCAAGACCGACTCAGGGATCAATCCTGGCCAGGCCACTGACTGGCTACCTATCATGGGGTTGGATAACCACCCTAAGCCTTCTTTCTTCATCTCTACAGGGGGCACATTAACACCAAGGTGTAAGTGGCATTAAACCTGATGTGAAATGGGAATCGGCAGGCGCAGTTTCATGGCTAAGAGTGAAGAATCTGGACCCAGCTGCCAGCACTCTGCCACTTACTTGCTGTGTGACCTTAGAAAACTCACCTAACTCTGAGCCACCAAAAAGAGATTAGAATCTGAAATGAAGATAATAATCACTAGTCAACTTTGAAATAGTGAAAATAACAGAGCAGTTATGAGAATTCAATGAATTAAGGGGGACAGAGCACTTAGAACAGGCAGATTCCCTGCTCTCCGTAAGAGCTAGCAATGATTACCAATTATTCAACTACCAACAGGAAAATGGGGTGGGCATTGTGGTACAAGTAAACGGTTATACAGGTCCACGGCCTGATGCGAGGTTTTAGAGCTGTGTTGGCGACACAGGTCAGAAGCTGAAGAGCACAGCTCCCTGCACTCCACGTGTTCTGTCACTGGTTTAACCCATGCTGAACAGGAGCCAGCCAGGGTGAAGAGGACAAGAGTGACACACTGCAGCTCAGCTGCAGAGACTGACAAGCAAAGCCCCTGACTGTGTCTGCAGACCCCACACAGCTGCTAAGTCAAGACAGACCCGGGGAGCGGTCCTGGCCAGGACACTGACGGGCCACCTGTCACTGGGTTGGATAACCAGCAGTCAGCTGTGGCCTGTACTCTGTAGTCAGCTTGCTTTAAAACCTCAGGTCTACACAGAGAGAGAGAGAGTGATCTTTCTGGTGAAGGAGGGATCTGAAGCGCTGGGGAGAGCCACCTTTTCCGTTTCCACTGTTCATCCTCTGGCACGGTTATTTAAACTGCTCATCTTCCATAAATGCTGTATTTGATTTCAGGGACAAATCAGTAGAAAGAAAACTGACAAACTGTTCTGCCCTTATTTCTAAGCATGCGACTTAGGCTTCTCAGCACTTGACTGGGCAGGGGACAAGCCATGGGTCCCTGCCCCAGTGACATTCAGAAAGGCACCTTCCCTACCCATGCAGGACCTCACTCCAGCAGCGCCTTCCCTCTCTTATCCTCTTCCTGCATCTTGAGGAAGGACGGCGGCAGCAGGTGTCCTGGAGGAGGACACCCCTGTAGGCCAGATCCTCTTGCCCTCTATTCTTGAATGTTCTGAAATTATGAGTTTCCCTATGTCCCCTATGGAGGCAAAACTTCACCTGCACTATTTACAGGTCCCTACAGGTGAGCATTCAGCCCACCTGGCTGGAGGGCAGTGAGCAGCTTGTGACAGGTGCCTGTGCCCTGGCAGCTGGATGGTGTCTGCATGACTGCATCACATGTGCATCACTCTCTAAAATCCCAACCTTTATGAAGCCTGAGACAACCTGGGCCCCAGGGTGTGGACCTGGAGGAGTTACTGCTGCCCTTGCAACCCATATGCAGCTCTGGAAAACAGTCAGTGAGAAATAATCGTGGAATTTTCTTTAAACTGCTTTCTTCTTTTAAAACCAGAATTTGAGTATATGCTTATCATGTGCAGGGCTCAGAGTTCAACCCCAGCATCAAACAAATGGACAAAAAAAGAGTTTAAAAAAAAATAAAATCATGACTTAGGCTGAACTTTCTTTGACACTGCTGACTCAATTCAAAATGGGAAATGATTGCACAGAAACTTCATGCAGATGTCTTCCCCTTAAGTAGTGCTTGACTGGGTCTGTACTCTGTGATCAGCTTGCTTCAAAACCTTGGGTCTATACAGAGAGAGAGCAATCTTTTGGGTGAAGGAGAGGCTAGAAACTGAAGCACCCATACAAGGCTTATGGAAAATGCCCAGTGGGGGATACCTGCCACCAGACACATGGTACCAAGTACACCTGCCTTCCTGTTGGTGTGCACTCCCAGGAGTTCCCTTTTGGAAACCTGGCCTTCTCTGAACCCCACTAGACTGCATTTAAATGACTGCTCTATTAACTGGGAAGGAGCGTGATGTGGGATCCCATTTCCTTGTTTGTAATTTGGGGAGAATACTACCTGCTGCTCAACACTACAGGAGTGAAATGAAGTCAGATCATGTTCCTGGCCCACAGGAGCAAGAGCTCACTGCTGTCCACACCCTCCTTCCATCCCATCCTTTGTTTCCTCCTCTGCTGTCTGGAGACAAGTTATAAGCAGAAAACTGGATGTTCACATTCTTCCTCGTGGACACCTAGAAAGGTGCATGTGTCTGTGGTGCCTGCTTATACATAGCAAGGTCAAGCACAGCAAAGGACGAGGCCCTTGAGCCAAGCTTGAACTCAGAACCTCCAAGGAGAAGAGGTGCCCAACAGAAGGGTAAGCAGAGAGGTTCCAAGACCCAAAGGGAGCAGAAATGTCACATAAGGTTTTCCCATAAACATTTCTTAAACCAGAAGTTCTCCATCCCACTGCACAGATGGCCAAGATTCAACTAGTGTAGTATCTCAGGGTTCCCAGGGGTTTCAGAACGTAGCCCCAGTGGAGAACTGCAGTCCACAGACTGTTAGTGCACACTTCTCTGGAATAGTAAACGGAAACCTAGAGTGTACAGGACCTGCAGTCCCAAGAATTAACCTATTTCCTCCACTCGGGCCTGGAGGGAAATGATGGTGGCTTTGTGTCCCCCCGGAGACCCAGGGGCCAGTAAGCTTCTCCAGGGTCTCCTGCTCCTGCTGGCACAGCCCCTCAGCTTGCAGGAAGAGAGGGGCCCTGACCTACCCAGGGCACAGAGAGGCTGCCTGTGCCTGCCAACACCAGTGCAGTCCCTGCACCTGCCTGGGCTTGTGGGTTGTCGACAGAGAAAATGGTGTACTTTACATGCCCTGTCTCCTGCCCAAGTGACACAGAACTCTACCTCATTGACAGGGAAAGCAAGAATACACAGCCCAGGTCCAGCTGCCCAGGAGTTATCAGAACAGAGGAAGGACAAACATTAATGTTTAACCGAACGATCGTTATTTGCAAAGTTTGTTAAGAGTCACCAGACGTCTCCCACCTGGGACTTTCCCATTCCTGGTCATCCTTGTCTTTTTCTTCCTTGGTGTCTCCAGCATGTGGGTGTTTCTGCACAATCCGCATTCCACCAGCTTTCACTGAAATGAAAACCAAGGGCAAGTATGATTAGTACAGACGGGGAACTGCCTCAGAGTTTTGCCCAGTGGCCACAAGTCAGTTTGGAGACCCTGGCAGTGACAATCATTAACTGGGGGTAGGGGGTAGTGTGGTTTGGAGGAGATTCAATGTGTTACCTGTGCAATGCTATCTCTTATCATTATCAGATGTTAGAAACTTTCCAAGACTCTGGGGTCCCTTTTTGGTTACCTCTCACGTATTTTATAAGAACAGTCACATAACCAAAATGTGAAGCATGCGGAGCAGTGGCTGCTTAGTTCTGCACATCTTCTTGATACAGGGGCTCCCTAAACCCTGCCCTACCCTGTGAACATTATTTTCTCAAATACCAGTGATGCTTTTGATAGGTGACATAGTTACAGGTGACACAGAACAGCTACTGTGTTAGTCACAGAACCTAGTCGGGAGTGGCAAAGATGTCCAGAGCAGCCCTTCCCAGGCTGTGCTGTGAAACCCTCCTATTGGTAGATGTTCATTCTGTTTTTAGAAAAACAGCCTCATTGCAGTTGGGTATGGTGGCACACGTGTGTAATCCAGCAGCTCGGGAAGCTGAGGCAGGAGGATTGTGAGTTCAAGCCAGCCTCAGGAACTCGGAGAGGCCCTAAGCAACTTAGTGAGACTCTGTCTCTAAATAAAACATAAAAAATGGTTAGGGATGTGGCTCTGTGGTTAAGTGCCCTTGGGTTCAATCTCCCCCACCAAAAGCTTCATCAAGATCTAATTTATGTACAATTCACCCATGTAAATTATATAATACAGTGGTTTGAGTATATTCAAAGTTATGCAACCATCACTACAATAAATTTCTGTCACCCAAGCAGAAAATCCCATACCCACAAACAGTTGTTCCCTGTTCACCTGTCCCCCAGCAACCAGTTACAACAGTTACTTGGGCTGGTCTCTTCTGGACACTTGGAATAGAAATGGAATCATAAAACACATGGGTTTGGGTGGCTGCCTCCTTTCAGACAGCACGTGTTCAGGTTCGCCTGTGTTGCAGTGTGAGGGCTCGATCCTTCTCAAGGACAAAACACTCCATCACACAGAATCACCGCGTTCCATTCCTCCGTTCATCACATGGTGGATATATGGGTTGTTTCCACTTTTCAGCTGTTATGGATAATAAGCTTTGAACACATTTATGTGACTTTTTCTGTGTACATATTTTCATTTTCTTAGGTTTGTACCTAGGAACGAATGGCTGGGTCACATATTGACTCTGCATTACACTGGTGAGGAACCAGGATTGCTTTTCAGTTGTGCGCCATTTTCCATTCTCACTGGTGTGAGGATTTCTGCACATGTGTCCATGCTTGTCATTGTCTATTTAATTATTGCTGTCCTAGTGGGTGTGATGTGCTATTTCATAGTAGTTTGATTCACATTTGCCAAACACTAACATCTTAATACTATCTTACAAGGAGGACGAGAGTGGGACATGGGACACCAGGATCTAATGGGTGTAGGAAATACTAGGTTAAACAAAAACAAATGGGCTTCTTCTAGAGAGATTTTGGGGCCCTTTAGCATGCTAATGTGCATCATGAAGCTTTATGAGGGGCATGGAGCATGCAGTCTCCCCCAGATGTTTCTTTTTCTTTTTTTTCTGTGTGTGTGTGTGTGTGTGTGTGTGTGTGTGTGTGTGCATGGACGCAATGGGGATTGAACCCAGGGGAACTTTACATTGAGCAACATCCCCAACCCTTTTTTAGTTTTTTTTCTTTATCTAGAAGTGTTTATTTTTTATTAGTGCATAATAGTTATACATAATAGTGGGGTTCATTTTGACATATTCATAAATGCATAAAACATAGTTTCCTCATTTCAGTCTCCTGCCTTTTTAAAATTTTGAGACAGGATCTCAGTAAATTGTCCAGGCAGGCCTCAAACTTGTGATCCTCCTGCCTCAGCCTACCAGGTTGCTAGGATTACTGGTATGCCTGGCCCCAGATGCATTTGACTCAGTTTTTGTTTTGATCTATTTTTGGTTTTGCAGTAATGCTGTTATCATCTTTTAGCACCACAGTGTCCCATGGAATAGAGTTTGGAAATACTAGCCATATATCCAAAAAGATGACCTCACATAGTGGTGTGGAGCTGAGGTTCTTTGAAGAAGCTGCACCCATATAGAAGATCTTGCAGACTGCTTGACTGGCTGAGCAAGAGGACTGCGATTGTGGAGAGATGGAAGATTTCAGATCGGGATCCCAGGCATCTTGGTATTTCTTAGGCTCTTTAGTAGCCACTTAATTTCAACTCCTATATCTGCCATTATAACTTCAAATAAAACTCAGAATAAACCACTAAACTTTGCAGACCTATAAGCATCCACCAAGCTAAGCATGTTTAAGGTAATGGCTAAACCTACAGGAAAGATTTTTCTCCCTCTGCTATAGCCAGCCTACCTGATGACCCACCAAATGTTTGCTAAATGTATTGATTAGGACTTCCCTTGTTTTGTGGCTGTAAAAGTTGCATGGTGGAGTATGTCATGTAGTGCCACTTCCCAGACCACAGCCACTCCTGTTTGGCTTAGGATAAACTATTTTCTTGTTTCCTTTAAAGCACAGTTGTTATTTTACATGGACAGTGGTTGCTTAATCTGCATAAAGGGGAGAAAACTCCAAGATGGAGACATTCAAAGGAGGGAACAGCAATCTACACCACGGGCCTCCTTTACCAATTCTCAAGGAGGGGAGTGCTTTTTTTTTTTGCATTTACCCCAGGTTCTTGATGCAGGCCTCAGGGAGTCCCACCCTTGCCCTACTCAGGGCAGCTACTGGGTCTTTGGCCACGAAGCAGCCACATCCCACAGTACCGTCCATTTGTCACTACAGCTCCTCCGGGGTCCCAAATCTGGGTGGACCTTGCTGGTTCACAAAAGTCCAGGGCAAGTTGATAATGCTGATGAACAGGAAGAGACTGTGAAGTCACCTCAGCCTCACATGCTCCAAGTTGATTAGTCTTCAATTTCTCAGACTTCAGGAAGACGATGACGCTTGCTTCTCAGGGACAATGGTATCCTAGCAGCTGTCCCTCAGATGAGGGCAAAACAGGCATCAAGTAAAATAAATGGTTGTGTTTAAACAGTGCCCATGCCGGTCTGGGATTGGAACTACAATCTCCCTGTGCCCCACCACTTCTTTCATGGAGCGGGGGCATTCTACTTTGGAAAGAAAGAAATAGGATCCTGTTCAGTGATCCACTTTTTATCTTAGGAATTCATTTCTAACCATTTTGCGTCTGACTGCGAGAGCTTATGCCTTGTGGTCTCCAACTCATCAGGTCTTTACTTGATAGGCTCTGCTTCTTTTCTCATGTTTCCCATTATAATAAACTTAACCATTTGGGCATACATGTATGTGCACTTAGAGTTGTATAGGCAGATATTTTGTCACCTGGGCCCTAGGAGTCAGTGCTCCTGTTGGTTTCTGTCTGCTCCTTCTTGCTCTCATGCAGGCGACTATGGATCACACACTTGTCTTCACCGGGCCTGTCAGGAAGATCTTATGGGGCCCGTGGTGTAGACAGCAATTCTTTCAAGAAATGCTGCTTGTGATCTACTAGATCAAGAGGAAGGTGCCTGAAAGTCCTTACCAAGGATTTCTTAGGATGGAACAGCCAGACCAGACAGTGTAATCAGAACCCCACTCATGGAAGCCGGCCTCATTTACCAATTCTCAAGGAGATTTGTGCTTCCATTCAGAGCCCATGCTGACATCCAAGGCTGCGGGGACCCTTCCTTGCCATTCCACTGTGTTGCTGGGGAGGGTCCCCTCTGCCATGTCTCCCCCAGGGTTTGGCTTCTGAGCATGAAGCATTATGCTACAGTCTGGGGTCTGTGGGCCAACTCTCATGCTGTCTGAATTTCAGTTCCTTGTTTTTGGTTTCTAAGGATTTTCCTCACTTTAAACTCAGATTAAAAAAAAAAAATAAAAGATAGCTGAGTACAGGAGGCTGAGGAAAGAGGATAACAAGTTCAAAGCCAGCCTCAGCAACTTAGTGAGATGCTAAGCAACTCAGTGAGATCCTGTCTCAAAATAAAATACAATAAAAGGGCTGGGAATGTGGCTCAGGGGTTAAGTTCCCCTGAGTTCAATATCTGGGAGAGAGAGAGAGAGAGAAATCTACTATTAGTGGACAGCTTTTAAATCTAAGATTTCCCAGCCTGTGTAGTACCCCATTAGAAATGGAGTTTGAAAATAAAATTCTGCAGTACAGTAAATGACTTTCCACTCTCTTGAAATGTGGAATTTGAGAATTATGTTTTTGACCAAAAGAAGAGCCTAGAATCGTCCCATGAATTTTTTTTCTTTTTAAAATTCTTTTCATAGTTGTACACAGACAGCATGCCTTTTATTTTATTTACTTATTTTTATGTGGTGCTGAAGATTGAACCCAGTGCCTCACACAAGCTAGGCAAGTGCTCTGCCACTGAGCTATAGCCCCAGCCTCCATGAAATGTTTTTCACAATACATTTTCCTTTTCTCACACCTTGATCCCATGCCCTTCAGAAATTGATTAGAGATGCTGTTATGTTCCACCAAAATGCAAAGTCTTAACACCTTAGATAGTGTGTGTCTTTAAAGAGGTAATTAAGTTAAAACTAGGTCAGACCCTGATCCAATAAGATTATGTCCTTATAAGAAGCGGGTACAGTGGTGCACGCCTATAATCCCAGTAGGAGGCTGAGGCAGGAGGATTGTGAGTTCAGAGCCAGCCTCAGCAACTTAATGAAGCCCTAAGCAACCCAGCAAGACTTTGTCTCTAAATAAAAACATAAAAAAGGCTAGGGATGTGGCTCCTAATCCCCAGTACCCCTCTCCCAAAAAGGAAGAGATGCAGCGAATGCACGTGCACAGAAAAAAGGCAGAGAGAAGAGCCAACTGCCAGCCAAAGAGAGGCCTCAGGAGAAACCACACCTGCCCACACCTTGATCCTGGACTTGCAACCTCCAGA